ACAGGACTCCAGGACTTTATTCATCCCAGGGCTGAGGGCTCGCGAGCAGCTTCGTCTGGATTGTTATGACTTCCTTTTTGTTTGTGGGGTGGTGGTGGGGTTTTTTTTTGGGGGGGGGGAGGTTCCTTTTTTTGTGTTTGCTCGCTGCAAAGTCCCAAGGAAGTCCCAAGAGCTTGGCCGGTTTGGCTTAGCAAAGCGAAGGACGCAGACGGTCTCTATAAATACGCCGGGGGTGAACGCCAGAGAGGGAGGAGAGCTATTTCGGCTCGACGACAATGTCGTGCAGCAGGACGAATGGGTGGGTAGAAACGGACGGGGCAGGGTGCACAGCAGAGCCTTCCCCAGCCACTGGAAAGGAGGTTTTTGGAGAGCAGCTGTAGTGAGGAAGGTAATTTGGTTTCTTGGCATCTCTCCCTGACTACACTTTGAAATAGAGCTTGAACAGCTTAGGAAAGACTTAAAACAACATGGTGAGTTGTGAGTGCATCTTCTGGGCCCTTTTGCTGTATCCTGGCTCTGTGGACGTGGATCACAGCAGGACTCTGAAGCCCTGGGAAGGGGAGGCAGAAGAGCTGCCCGGGACCATGGGCCTGAGGACCCTGTCCCACTGGGGAACCCCATCCCCCAGACACTGCTCCTGGCTGATGGTGGTGGAGAGGGCAGAGCCGACCCCATCCCACATCCCCTGCACGTGTCTGGATGCCTGAGCACAGTCCTGGTGCTTCACTGAATCAACCTGGTGATTTCCAGCCCCAGGTGGTTTCTCAGAATGGAGAAGATTAGGATCTGGTCTTTCTTTTAGACCTTAGCTTGACTTTTTTTGTAAAGGATGATGCAGCCAGGGGAGGCAGGGCCTGGCTGGCCATCACAGCCCTCTGCAGGGAGCGGGGTGGGTTTCCTTCTTGGTCGGTTTATTTGTATTTTTAGACCACATTGAAGGCACAAGGTCACTGAAGTGAGTGAAATTCCACCCCGGAGTCTGGACTGTCTCCCTGTCTAGTTTGCACCACGTCCCTGTCCTGCTCCTCTGGAACGGGGTGAAGTCAACAGCTGAGCTGGGGCTCAGCTGCCCCAGCCACAGCCGTGCCGGGGTGACATCAGCCTGGGCAGAGGCAGGGGCCATTCTTTCGGCACAAAAACACCACCGCCCCATCCATTACCTCACGGCCTCGCATCGGCTCCAAGGAGGGAGGGCAGGCTTCGCCCCAGCAGCAGCTGTGAGCTCTGGGGAAACAAGATCCGTCTGTTTGCAAGGACTGAGTTCACACTGAGAACAACAACAACAAGCCGGTCCAGGCCGGGATGAACGTGGGTCCCAGCAAAAGGTGGAATTGTTGTCACGAGGGTTTCGGTGCTGGGTTGTCCTGCTCTTCTTCCCCTCCCCGTGTTCTCACCCCTTCCTCCACCTCCTCCCGCCACGCTCCCTGGGCTTCCTCTCTTGGATGCCAGCCACTTAACAAAACGGCCAGGGACGGATCACGCGCCCCTGCAACAGTGCTGCTCTTTAGGACCAGCTCTGCAAACTAGCCTCCCCATTCATAGGGGAGAGCCATCTGCAAATGCCAGGGCCATATCTGAGCTCCTGGGCAAAGGGGCTAAGGAGTATCAAGTCCGGGGGTGTGTAGAGGGCATCTTACCACTTCGCTGGTTCGGATACGACCCAGCCCTGTTGTGCCCTTGCTGCTCGGTGGCGGAGAGTTGTCTTTGGCTCTGTTGTTAGCCCTGTTCATCTAAGGGTTGGCTGTGCCCAGAAACCCTGGGCCAAGAGTGAGATGCATGGCTGGGTCGAGGAGGGGGCTGAAGCGCTGTTGGCTGTGAGGCTCTGGTTTCAGGGCTGTCAGGCACTTTGCATAGCATGGAGGTCAAAAAAGAGCGTGTCAGAGCCATGACAGGGATGCTGAAAAGGCTCCTACGAGCAGAGCAGATCATGGCTGTGGCTCAGACCTCTTGGCCCTCTAGGAGACAGCACTAGGATTGCTGCCCGGCCTCTTCCCTGGAAGACTTCACGCCTGCTGAAATACATTGCAGAGCCACATGACTGCTGGCTGTAGAGGAACACCTCTGCTTCACTGCTTCTGCATATGGTTGGGAACAGCAGTGGTGGATCGAAATCCATGCCTGTGGCAGTCCTTCTGGGATAAGACTGTGAGCTTGACAGAAACATGCAGGTTACAGGGCTTTAGAAAAGGTAAGATGGCACAAGTGGAGTGAAGCTTGTAAATGGGAAGAGGAGAGATCTCCACTTGTGGCTAGACCAACTGCATCAGAGCCCTGATGTATTTTAACCTGGAGAAAACAGGATCTGAAGGACCATGATGGGTTTTCCTCTAGGTGCCCTCCAGGGAGACCTAGAGCCCAAGAGCATTGATGCCTCTGCTTATGGAATAGAGCACTCAGAGCAGCTTTGCTGCGGAGGTGAATCGGAGGAGGTACTTGAGGCTGGGAGGTTTCTCATGAAATACCTAGGGAGCGGCATGGGAGAGGGTGAATGATGCTGGGCTTGAGGCCTTCAGATACCTGTTCCTGGCCAGGGGCAGATGCCACAAGCTCTCTCCTCCACAGCTGCTACTGCTGAACAGGGATGCGATGAGCCAGCTACCGTAACAGCAGCACCTCTGCTATTATTATCTCTAAATAGCGATTCTGAGAAAAGCCACCTGGGAATGAGGGTCTTGCCATGCTATGTTCTCCGCACTGGAGATTCATCTTGCGTTGGCACAAACGTCCCTGGATCTCTCATTGCAAGTTATCTCAGCAAAGGTTAAATTCAGCAGGATGACAGACTCCTTGCCTTGGAGGAGCTGGCGGCATAGAGACACAAAGAGAAGAGAGGAACAAAGCAGGGAAGAGTAGAGAGCTCGAATACGGCCAGGAGGAGGCCAGAGTGTACTGTGCTGGCTCAGCAGACCGATGAGTTGGCAACGTGGTGAGTCAGAAGTTGGGAAGTGAGGAAACCTAGCAAAAAGGAATGTGCGAGGGATTGAAATGGTACAGCACATCTCCTCTTGAACATATCACAGCGTTTGCTTTGTCTTCACATCTGAGCTCTTCTTTAAAGACCTCCTGCTGATTCCTTTCTCCAGCTACCAGAGAAGGGACATGTCAGAGCTTGGGTAGGCTGTGAGGGTTTCAGGCTGAGCAGTGACACTCGCAATCAGTTCAACCAGTCCAGCAGCCAAGTCCCAAAGGGTTCAATGAGCTGTAGAGTAACAGTCAGCAGTCGCCACTCACTCCTGAAACACCAGCATCTTCTGGGTGTAATGTAGGAAGGATGTTTCACCAGCTGTGCAACACCACACTTTACTGACTTGGTAAAGACATCATCTCCAGCAATGAAATGACT